ACATCTAGTGTTACCAAATCATAATCATAGCTGTATAATTACATTTTGACTGATTATAGAACATTTCTCTTTACGAAGAAACAGAAACATATAAATACAGACATTTAGTTTGTAAGATAAAAGATGATAATGGATATCTTTTTACATTAGAAATTATGTTGTCATACAAATTATTACCAATATCATAATGATGCATATTCATTTAGGGTATCATGGGTTTCTGGATAGTGAAGCACTGACGTTTACATATTTCAGCATCGTATTTTGTGTGTTATCTATGTGATTACACAGTCCTGTTTCCCAAAGGTGGTAGACTTTGCTTGTTTTACTGATTAGTTTGAATGGCACTCCAAAAACTAGTCTGTCCTGTGGAGTTCCACAGGGATCAATCTTAGGTCCTCTATTGTTTTTAGCCTGCATTTACTGAAAACGCAGCACTTTTTTTTCCCCCTGCAAATCTGCTGATGATGATTCTCATCTACATAATGCACATTATGTTATACTGTGAAGGCAGCTGGTCTGTCGATCAGGTGTATCAGACTAGGAGTGTCAGACATTACAAAACTGTTTCAGGTAAATGATACAAAATTCGAAATCCCTTTGTTTGATGATCCAAGTTTTTATGGTGGCTTAAAAAGAAGTCTCTTTATTAGGCATGCAAACCATGATTCCAGTTTGATGGTTGACTCTGAGTTTGTTTTGTTTTTTTTATTGAAAGGTGACTGATGTTGTGAAATTGTATCATCACAAATTAGCAACAACAATTTTGTATTTTGCTGATCCTTAGAAGACCAGTCCTTTCGCTGTTAACTATAAGTGAAATATTTGCATTTTTTCACTCGCAACATGGTTCACCTGAAGCGTGAATAAAAGTATTTAATATAATATATAAAATGCTTACAAATATGTGTAAACTGGGGTGTGTAATAGCGTTAGTAAAAAGAGATATTTTACCAGTGACGCATAAACACACAAAGCTAGCAGAGGAGAACGCAGGAATGAACACTGTAGTAAGGTGAAGGATATTAGCAGGTGATAAAAGTCTTTAGTAGTTATCCTGTGATTAACTGTCCTTTTGTTTGTTAGAAGCTCTGTTTTAAAACCAGGGTGGCACACGGAAAGGCTGGAACAGCAACGTGATTGGACGGATCTGTAAAAATATCCACTTCTCTTTATTAACTTTATTGTAAACTGTTGCGTCCCTGTAAGAACGATGGTTCCATATTTTTGATAAACTGACTGGCCAGTAGTTGATCTGTTTAAATATTTTGATCTTATCTTCTGAAATGAACTTGCTTTGGAGCAGTTGAGCCCAAAGATAGCTGGATAATCAGCTAATCTGGATTTTTAGACCAGAGTATTGACTAAAGCCAATGCAGGAGATTTAAATTAAACTCCCTGTTTACTTTTCTCCACTGTCAGGAGTTTGGCTTTCAGACGGTTCTTGCAGCTTACATTAGCAGACCACAGAATAGAAAGCAACAAGCTAAGTTTGTGAACAGTAGTCTGAGTGAAGTGAAGTGAAGAAGTAAACAAACCTGTTCATGTTAAAATTAACCTTACGCTGTTTTAGTAAGATTAGACACTGATTTGGTCTAGTCTTGTCACTGGAGTGATGTCAAGGTTTAGGAACACTGTATCATCATATCTTTATGATCGTTTTCACATCTTAGAAATGGACAGCAAGGAGGATCAGTGGTTAGCACTGTTGCCTCACGGCAAGAAGGTTGCCGGTTCACGTCCCGGTGAGGACACCCAGGATCTTTCTGCGTGGAGTTTGCATGTTCTCCCCGTGCAGCGTGGTTTCCCTCCAGGTTCTCCGGCTTCCTCCCACACAGTTCAAAAACATGTTGAGGTTAATTGGTGATTCTAAATTGTCCGTAGGTGTGAATGTGAGTGTGCTTGGTTGTCTGTCTCTAAGTGTAGCCCTGTGATAGACTGGTGACCTGTCCAGGGTGTCCGCGTCAGCTGGGATAGACTCCAGCGTCCCAAGACCCTAGTGAGGATTAAGCAGTGTATAGATAATGGATGGATGGACATATTAGAAATGGTTCATCTGATTTGCTACTTTGCTCTTAATTATAGTGTAATGAAATAGGAAACAACATGCAATGAATGCAGGTAATGAAAATGTTTTTATACTTAATAGTATTTGTGTAATATTGACACAAGATTTTTTTTTTCTTTATCACATTAGACACATTTAATAAGAGAAGTAATACAAAGAAAATAGTGTGATATCATTTTAAACTAGTCATTATTCAGGTGTTTTTTTTTTTCTTTTTTATTCTAACATAGTTAATTATTGTGATGACAAGTTTACCTGTAGTGCTTGTATTACGAAGCAACAGTGCTTTTATTTTAGTACCGTTTTGGTATTCTACGCATGTCTAACCATGATAAATATCATACATTATAGATAACAATGCTTACAGAGAGGTATATTTTGCAGCATTTGCTTTTTATAATAGTTGCTGCTCGTTTGCATCACCCACACTCTATCCCTCTTTTCCCAAACCGGGATCATTTGGCTCCAGAAAACTGGCAACAAGTGGTAAACCCAAATTCCAGGCTTCAAAATCATCCTTTCGAAAATCTGAGTGGGATCACAGAGACACTAGAGACATGTTCTTTCTAGGTTAAAAAATGTCTTAATGAGCTGGCTGCACTTTACTACTTTCAGTATATTTCAATTTATCTCAGAAGATTCCCAGGAATATCTGACGGCGTTTTATATGATAATGCATTAGATGAATTACATTGATAGACACATTCTCACATTGTCACTGAACCAAAGAAATAAAAGGAAGAAAGTCTTTGTTCAGAGTTATAAGATTTTATTTTGCATGTTTGTCCAACAAACACACAACGGTTTCTGTCAGAGAAGCAGCGTCACCTCCTCCATCTCACCCTCCAAACACAAAATAAGCTCTTTCATATGGAAATGGACTAATTGATTTCCTAAAATCCACATTAAAGCCGTGTATAATTGTGCTTGCTGTTTTGGAGCAATTAAAGCAGAATTTTCCCAACAGTTAATGACTATTATGGGATTTGCGTAATTGAGGCCCCGGTTGAATAAGCTTTGTTTTTTTTGTTTTTTTTTTTTCCTTTTTGAGCGGCTGACTCTCCTCCTCAGCCAGAGCGAGTGAAAATCCACTGCAGCATCTTAACGCATGAAACACACCAGAGGGAGTCGCAGCGCTTTGACCTTTGACCTTCACACACCAAACCGTTCTCCTTCTCATGACCCTCATGATGCAGACAGTGTCCTCACACATCAGGCTCTTGCTTCTCTGCAGAAAGGCAGGCTTCCCAGAGCTGACAGACTTCTTCACACTGCAGCTACATTAGATTTATTTGTTGTTATGACAGTTCTCATTGTAGAAGTTGGAAAAGATTGTTCGAATAATGAACAATGTATTTAATTTTCTTTGTATTTTCTATATAATACAGTATGGTCTTGACATGTAAAGCTTTCTGCTTTTATTAGATGTATCACAAAAGAAGTAATTGTTGTACATTGTTTTAGATGTTATATTTTCAAATGGTCGTCACTTTAATACCCATTGGGCCATTTTGCTTAGAATGCATTTTTTTATTTGCTGAATGCAGTAATACAAACACAATGTTGTCTTGCTGCAGCATGCAGCATTTGTTTAATTCTCTCCCAGGTAATTTTCTCCCTTTTTTTTTTTGGCCTCTGATTATCCATAAAGGTGCACAGCTGCTCATATAGCCCACACTTAGTGGCAGCAAGTAGCTTTACCATTTACATGATTACAACTTCAAACAGCTATTGGTCGTCCACAGCTTTGGTCTCCCCCAAATCCTTCTGACAATGAGACCCCGAGGGTGGATGAAATATTGTGCACCAGCAATGTGAATGGCTTAAATCACACTGCAGATGTAGGATTTACATTTCAAAGATGGGTTCAGACAGTCTTGTTGTGATGTGATCCTGTTCTCAAGGTGTGAAGTAGTTGTGATGCAGCATTTTTTAATGTATTTCTGTGCCATTTTTTCATGATGTGCTATATGTAACAGGACAGTCTTCAGGTGATTTCTGCCAGAGATTGACTTGTGTTGCTTCGAACATTTGACATTAAATAACTTATTCCTTGTCACTGCATCCTGCTGCTGCAATGGTACAAGTCGCCCCTCAGGAGTTTCCCAATAACTCCCGTTCAGACTCATATTTCAAAGTTGAAATTGGCAATATTGATTGAAGGTTGCTTGATAAACATCAGTGCACAAACCAGTCAAGTTTTGATGTCTATAGGCTGCGAAAATGACTTGAAGAGGGTTTTGTTGTTGGTTCTTTTCTTCAAAGGAGTCAATATTTTCTTTAAACTTTCTTTCAAAAGCCTTTCTATATGTTTTACCTAAAACTCAGAAAAACGCACAACAACCACCGCGTAGAACAAACGTTTCTTAAATTGGAAGTCTAGCAGTGAGAACATGAAATTTTATAGGCTACCACCTTAAAGAATTGCACCTTCGTCATTAAAAACACTTTTCAGGTCTTACTTTTTCTTGAAGAACTCAGGCAGATGGTCCAGATGTAGTCATTTGTACTTTAGATATTAGAGCCCTAATACACAAATATATCATTTTTCCACCTTCCTACAGGCTTCCATCAAGCAGAAATGAACCACATCATTCTTTTATACTGTTTGGATACTTTTTCTTTCAACCACTTAATAGTTCTGAAAGGCAAAAGCCAAATAAGACTGAGCTGTCCAGCCTAGCTGGGCTGATTAGGGCTAAGTGCTGGTATGTGTTCTGGCTGTGGAGGCTCAAATGTGAGCCCTTATGTGTTTGCCAGATTTTGGCTTTGTTTCTAGACTTGTTTATTGTGAGAATCAGTTCCAGTTAGCAGTGGAAGGGTGAGCTTTGGCCCAACAAAGCTGAAGATACAAGTGCTCAAATGATCAAATAGTACAATATGAGAACAAAGATGGCTACTGATCATTTATGTGCCCTCTGTTTCACCTCAGCGTCTATGGCTGCCCACTGGCCAAAAAGAGGAAGGCTCTGGAAAAACAACCGCTGGAGCCAGCTGCCAAGAGGAGGCCCTTCCTCACCTCCTGCCCGGGTGAGGAGGAGGAGGATGCTGGCGCCTACGCCAGCTACGAGAATGAAGCCATGGAGGTGGGGCAGGCGGGGAAGGAACAGGGGGAGGTAGTGGAAGAGGATGAGGAGGACGAGGATGGGGAGAGGGAAGGGGATGAGGAAGAAGATGGGGAGGTGGAGGACGAGTTCTCGGAGGACAATGAGGAGCAGGGAGAGGAAGAGGAGGAGGAAGAAGAAGAGGAGGAGGAAATAGAGGTAGATAGAGCAGATACAGCAATAGGGGCTGCACAAGCAGAGGATGAGGAGGGCATGGATGAGGAAGAGGAAGAAGTGGATGATGGCGACGACGAGGATGAGCAGGAGGATGAGGCAGAGGACGACGAACAGGAAGAGGACGACGAGGAGGAAGAGGAGCTGCAGACTCGCCAGCAGGGTGAGTTCACTGTTTCTTATTTTGGTTGCTTTAAGCAATAGTTCCCATCTGGTTCAGGTTTGTTTCGGCTAAGTGCAAGTGGAAATCTCTGCAACTAAAAATAAAGCCAACACAAAGTGCCAAAAACTGCAGTCCCTCAAATGTCCACTTGAAGTTGGCTCTGAAAGCAAGTCAGTCCCGACAGACCCTCACGTTAAAACGTCCAACTTTACAGCAAAAATAAACATGTTTACAGCCTGGTACAAAAAATGGTTTCAGTCTTTATAGCTAATTCTGTTCTTGACAACTTTGTGGTGGCTGCATTTTTATATAACTCTCCCATTAAAGTTATGCATAATTCACCGAAACAAGAGTTTTGAATTAGCGTTAGAGTTAGGAGGATTCAGGCGCCACCAAGATGGCAACGTCATCAACGCCACCACACTGTTTGGGAAACCTAGGGGTGCTGTCACGAAGAGTTCACTTTATATACAGTCAGTGTTTAAGGCAACTAAAACTGCTTGGTAGGAAAAGATGCTTATGATTAACTGAAACCAAAGTTATCAGTGTCAACATCAGAAAACTCCTCTCCTTGTTGTCAGTTCTGACGTTTCTGTTATGAAGATGATGGCACTTTTCAAGATATCTTTCAAGAATCTTTCAAATCACTTTTTTCTTGTGATCTGACATCTATAGTAAAGTTTTTTGGCACAAAAACAGCTTTAGGTCAGTTTATGGTTTCTGCATCTGTTTAGCTAGAGATGTCTGATGTAAGTTTTGTCTTTTGCCCAAGTCCATATAGATCCATACAAACTCCACACACACACTATGAGCACAGTGACAGTGACTGAAAAGACAAACAAGATGCTGCTTGTGCCCTGTGTATTTGTACTGCACCCTTAGCGCTATTTGCATTAGGTGGTTGCACTTAAAAACGGTTTTCTTTTGAGAGAAACACAGCAAACAAAGGAGCTTTTTCTATTGCATGGTGTTAAGTCTCTGTATGAACACCCCTGGTTGCAGTATAGAAGCACATGGGCCACTGTTGTCCACAAGAATGTCTCTACAGTAGCTGTCTGCACCCCTAATGTGAGATATTCAAAGCTTTAGTCACGGTTAAATAAAGAAATTACCATAGACTGTTTGGTTGCAAAGGAGAAACAAGTGTGTCCAGTGTCAAAGTCTGACACTGTGATGACCCATCGATTCACCCTGACCTGCTTCCTCTGCAGACCTGGCAAGAGTCATAATTACGATGACCGCTAGAGGTCATTTGTTGTTACTGGAAATTTCCCAAAGTTCTGCCATTTTTCTGGTCAGGACAGTCTGCCAGACACATACTATCCTGTGAGGACTGCAGCTGGATCTGTAAGGGTTATGTTTGAACAGTGTCCTGAAACATTTCCAAAAAGGAAGCCTGCAATATGTAAAGAAGCCAAAATGATATGACTTAGACAGATAGATAAACTCAGCAGTGTTACAGATTCCATGTCTGGAAGAGGCTCGTATTCGGGTCCTGTTCTGGGTCAAGCTGCTGTCCACTTATGGTGGCTGTTTGCATCTGCAGTAGGAGAGGACAGAGTGAAGGGAGGCGATTCTCTGGTAGACCAGATGCTCTGCGCTCTCCCTCCCACCACGTTTACCTCGATTCCCCCCGAACACCCCCCGTGTCCTCAATCGCTTCTGACAGCGCTTCACGAATAATCGGGAGAGGAGCTCTGCTGAGTTAATAACTCCCACCCTCCCCTCCCTTCCCTGCTCGCCTCCTCGTCTCGGCGGACGTGTCACATGTGCTCTGCCTCGGTTTCTCCTCCCGAGGATATTTATGGCTCCTGAATCGGAGCACCTCACACACCTCCCTTTTCAATTTCTCTGCTCTCATTTGCCGTCACTGTCCCCAAAATCAACAGCGAGGCTTAGCAGGGAGAGCCGCGCTGCTCTGCACAGCTCTGGGTTGTATGTTTTTTGTGAGTAAACAGTGGATCATAATTGGGAGTGATGCAGCTAATACATTCAGGAATAAATGTGAAAAAAAAACAGGTCCAACGGCATTGCTGAGATGATTAGAGGCTATAAAAGCTTCATCTCCACTTCATCTGCAGGATTTGCATTCTATAAATGAACACTTATTTATATTATCTGCAAAATGAATCCATTTCCTCTTTTATTTTTGACCAATTATCTACTGTTTATGTTGGTTATTGTGCAAAATACAGACGGAAACTTTGCTCATGCTAATAACTGGCTGTGATGTGGGATGCTCAAAAGCAATGTAAAGCCAGAGAGGTTTGTTTTTCACTTTCCTGACTGCAGAGAACCACTACAAACCCAGTGGACAATCAAAGCTCATTCCAATACAGAAGGACGACAACAACAACAACAGCTGCACCATCAGCGCAGGTAACGGCACCGGAGAGGAGTACGAGAACTACGACGAGCTGGTCGCCAAGTCACTGCTCAACCTCGGCAAGATCGCGGAGGACGCCGCGTACCAGGCCATGACCGAGTCCGAGATGAACAGCAACTCGTCCAACAGCGCCGGGGAGGACGACGACGACGACGACGATGACGGCAGCGAGCAGGGCGACAGGAAGGGCGAGCTGAGCGTGGACTTGGACAGCGACGTGGTCAGGGAGACGGTGGACTCCCTGAAGCTCCTGGCGCAGGGTCACGGTGCCATGCTGCCCGAAGATGGCTACCCAGAAAGCACCATGGTGGATGACGGCAGCCACGCGAACGGGCGGCCCTGCTTGGGGGTGAGGGGTCAGGCGGAGGAGAGCGAGGAGGAAGTGTGTCTCAGCAGCCTGGAGTGTCTGAGGAACCAGTGCTTCGATCTGGCTCGGAAGCTGAGCGAGACGCAGCCGTCTGATCGTCCCGCCCTCCACGCCCTCCACCACCAGCTCCAGAACCCAGTGGACCCGCAGGTGGTGCATCACCTGAGCAGGTAGCTTATCTCTTTCCATTCATATGATTACTCTGTATTTATTTCCCACACCTTTTTTTAAAGCCAAATTTATGTGTTGTTAAATATTTTGCAGGTGATTTTATAATATTGATTAAACCATACAGAATTAATGTTTTCTTCTCTGACCCAAATGGTGAGATTTGAAAGAAACTCTTCAAGATGTTTTCACTATTTATTAAAAGTAAAACTAAAACTTCCACAATGACAACAGTCAATTACAAATATTTGTCCTTCATTTAAAATGCTACAGTGTGCTTAACCCTCAGAAGCCCAAAACCCACTGCTGTGTTTGAAGGGCATGTTGTCTTTAAAAAAAATCTCCAAAATAACACTATTTATCAGAGCTACAAACTGTAAATACAGAAAAAAATGCTTTCAACAGTTTGTGATCTACTTATCAATGTCATGCTGTCCGGCCACAAAAATGATTCATATCTGGACTGGATGATATTTCACCAAAATCCCTTTATTTTACATGTCTTATGTTTTTTTAAAAATGCCAAAAAATGTAATATTTGCACCAGCCAAATGCTGTTAAAAACTAAAAAATTCTGCACTCCCTGGTGCAACTGGGAAGCCATGGGTGACTCAGCTGTGACCAACAGTCTCATAAAAATAAATAAAAAAAACTCACAGACTTCTGTGGAGTGGAAGAAATCTGACTTTGGTTTTTCCTTTTTTTATTGATTGATGGAATTTTGTCTTTGTTAAACTGTACAAAATGTTCTTAAATTCTCTGTATTTCTATGATTGTGCTTTTTCCATGGATGTGCAGGAATTTATATTGCAGAGAAAAATGTGACAGCAACGAAACATGTCCAGAAACATCTTTGAGCACATGCTGCAGGTGATTGAGATGGAGCTCTCCAAGCACTTCCTTTTTCCTAATTTTTTATTTTTCTACTTTGACCCTTTTTTTTTTGAGATGATGTATTAGTAGCTTAAGTTAAAACTACAAGGCAGCAACAGACGCTGTATTCCTTCCTTGCAACATCTGCTGAATGATGTCAGTAAAGAATAGTTTATTCTATGGAACAAAATAGAAAATAACTCAAATGGTAAAACTGTGACCTTTAATTTTACGTTGGTCCTTGAGATGAGCAGCATCTCCAGAAGACAAATTTAAACTCACATCATTCTTCTATCAGGCTATGAGAGCAGATTTGGATCTTTTGTAGCTGCTTGTCAACCTCTGCTATTTACACGGTCACAATTTTAACTTCTTTCCTGTTGACTTGTCAGGTACGACAGCTGCCAGCAGAGTGCTCAGGAGGAGCACAGGTCTCTGGAGCGCAGCTACTCCGACATGGTGAACCTGATGAAGCTGGAGGAGCAGCTGAGCCCGGCGTCCAGAGGTTACCCGACCAGCTGCAGCCAGGAGGGCGACGAGGACACCACGTCGGTGGCCTCCGACCGCTCGGACGAGACCTTCGACATGGCCAAAGGAAACCTGTCACTGCTGGAGAAGGCCATTGCCCTGGAATCAGAGAGGGCGAAGGTCATGAGGGACCGCATGACCTCAGAGCACACGATGCCCCGTCGGGATCACCATCACCACCGCGGCCACGGTGAGCACAGCCCAAGGCTGAGCAGCGCCGCAGAGGAGCGCAAGTCCAGGATGCAGCAGGATGGGTTGAAGAGGGCGTACTACCCTAAAGGTAGGCAGCAAAAACCCACACACTGACCCTCACCATGTCTTTATTGATTTATGCTCAGCAAAGTTGTGAGATAAGATATGTTGATTTTTCATCTTTGCTCACTTTGGACACTGCTGGAAAATCTGTCAGGTCTGTTGAGCAGTTTGGCACCAACCTAAAGTCTGTCTTGTCTTTCTCATAATATGTTGTGGACGTCAGTATCCACAGTTTTGAGATGAAATTCACAATAGTTTGAGCTCACAGCACAACATGTTAGAAAATACAGGTAAAACTGAAACAATGCTGTCTTTTCATGAGCACCTATGTCGACAGTGGTTCTGCATTCATGGTTTGATGTTCAAATGTTCCACATCTGGGAAAAAGAAACACCTTTCTGGGAATTTTTGTTTAAATGCCAGGACTCTTCTGACCAGGATTTAAGAAATAATTTAGTTCAGTCATGCCTCTGCAGCTTTACACTAAACTACATCATCAATCACAGCACCTAAACAAAATCATCTTCCAAATATTTTAAAAGAAATGCGTTGTGAGATTAAACAGGAAATGTTCTACATCATGGTATTAAAGCTTTAAAACTGAAGCAGGATAAGCAGTGTACGTTCCTCAAACCTTAGTGTTTGAACTGCATTCACAAAGCTGTCAAGTGATCATGTTTCCTCTTCAAAATTCTGCCAGTTTCACGTCACCTTTTCACGTCACATTTGACCTTAACCAGCTTTAACTGAAAAAATCTGACCCCAGGTCAGGCGGGAGGACGTTTATCTTGTCTCCCTGACTTATTGTAACTCTCAATACTGCAGCAGCCGGAGGCTATCGGCGCTGTTGCAGGAAAGAAACACATAACTGTAACTTTAATGTCTGTATTTTTCCTCCTTGATTTGAACATTTCAGTGAGCATTGCTGGATTGAATGAGTTTTCTGACCCCTGGGCTCTTAAAACCTGTTAAAACCCCATTGTGTTATTTCAGAATTGCTGTACATGGCTGCAGATGAGGTAATGGGCACTCATTTTCTGCATTCAGGTCTAACACACTTTTTTTTTTTTGCAGATGCATGGTTTTCCACTGACAGCAGCTTATGTTGTTAAAATAGGCCGGTGTGGGAACATCAGACGGCCGGCTTGTCAGGCATGAGTAATGGCAATCTGCACGGCCCGTTAGGAGAGCAAATCTCATCTGTGGGACGCTCTCTGCGGCCTATTTCTCTAAATCCACTCAAATACAACCCCATCACCACTGGGAGGGAGTCGGCGCTGTGCAGTTATCATCCTCACAACAGACTCAGATGGGCTTCAGACTGCTTCATTAGGACAGAGCATGTCTTTGTTAACTAGGAAGAAGTTATTAGTCCACAGGAAAGCTTTCGATATGATGGGTCTGAATCTGTGCAAGAACAGCACACTTGTCTAATTGTAGCCTGGCGTTTTGTTTCACTTCAGTGATTCAGCCTTATATTGTGTGAGCTGGTTTCTTATTGGCTTGTTGCCTGTTCTGTTGTGTTTGTCAGTCGGTAAGGAGTGATGTGTCCATCCTGCCGATGTCATTTCAGCTCAGAACAATCTGAACATCGGAGAGAAATTTTCATCTACACTTTTTTTTTGGCATTTTTGTCGCACTTTTTGATGAATGCAGAAGGTAGCTAGCTATCTATGTAGGAAGATGATTCGTAATCCTATCATAATAAGCTGTGATTGATCCATTGTTTCTCGAACCAACGGAAATCAGTGGGTACAACATCACGCCTACAGTTTTTGCCTTGCTAAACAAATCTGAGTTGTGGGTGGCAGTTCAGAACCAGGCTACTAGCCAAATCTCGGCAGCCACAAATGGACCAGAGCTGGTTCGCATTCAGTCCTTTGATGGCGGAAAACTGTGCCGACACTTGGACGTCGGTTACCTGTTGACTCAACAACGCCTCCGCCTCATTTTTGCTGTCCCCATTTCTCTGTCCTTTCCAGACTCTTCAAGGGGGGAAAAGAAGGAGAGCAAGTGTCCGACGCCGGGCTGCGATGGAACCGGCCACGTGACGGGTCTGTACCCACATCACCGCAGCCTGTCTGGGTGTCCCCACAAGGATCGTGTCCCGCCTGAGAGTAGGTCCCTCTGCTTGGATGTTATGCTGCACTGAAAAGGCACCCTGCTTTAAGAAACTCGAAATAATTTCAGTCTGACAAGTCATTTTAGCTGAAACAGTCTGACGTTTTGGCTCGTGGTTTTAATTGAACAGTCATTTCTCAGAGGTGGAGCAGTTTTCGAGGCCGATATCATCTTACTGGTTGAGGTACACCTCAGCTGGGGGAAGATTAAGACTCCCAAATTTTCTGAGCGCTACTATGTTAGCAAGTTGACTACACACAACAATTAAACAATTAAATGGCAAAGACCCAACTCAGGAATAGTCCTAAACACAGTTAGCAATGTTTACGTACATAAAGCGCACAGCAAGCTAGTTAACAATAACATTAAGCTTTGAACTAAAACTACAAGTTTGGACCGGGGTTAGCTAGGCTGATTAGTTACCTTACTGCTCATTTCCATCTAGCGTTACGTATGTACAAGAGTCAAGCGCAAATCCATTGTGTTTGTGAAACTTCTTCTTCAGTTTTTTTATGGTCCAGACTTTGCTTCCAGTATTTACAAAAATTTAAACTTTTACTGTTTTCCAAGAGATTGCACATTGTGCCAGAAAAACGAACTAGCTAAAAGGCTAACGGGCTATTCGGTTGTTTGACTATGTTGACAGTCAAATTGTGGAAATGCATAATTAAAAAGAAACTAGTTTAGCTAGTGTACATCCAAGTTTAATATGCTATTAAGTTATGGACATGAAACAAAGCTGTGAGGAAACGAGGCATCAGACAATTTAGTAAAAGTCGTTAGGCTATAAAATGCCCTGTTTCTCTTCCATTTGTCGTCTTTGGTCCAGTGGATCTCACTGGCTCCAGTGTCACATTTATGGTGTCATTCAGACCGTATTTAGATGTGGGTTATATCGAGCTACAATATCTACTGTTTGCCAAAAACTGTTCAATGATAGTAACTACTATGTCTTTGTAGGTAATGCATGAATGCTCCAAAGTCCGAAAAACAGGATAGTGACGGGATGATAGAGATTCAGTAAAGAAGTGTTAGCTCCACGCCCTGAGCATTTACTAACATTTTATTTTATTGCACCTTGTAGCTTAAGACTCATTATCTGATTTTGAAGTAAGTGAACATGCAAGCAATGTTGTACTTACACTTCACAGGAAAATCTAAATTCCTTTATACACAATGGTCATGGCTGCTGCAAATCAAAGTCAGTGTTTTTAATTGTAAGACACTTCACAGGCCAAATGAAAAATACCTTAGAGGTCGGAACGATAGTAACAGGCCGATATTCTGTTCTTGATTGAAGAACAAGACTTAAAGAATAAATACTGACTTCAAATGACTTGTTGGATGGATTGTGTCGCAGTGAAAGTTGGACAATGTTGGGCATGTTGGCTGTCCACCATCATGCATCTGTCCTGCATGACTCAGCATTTGTGTTTTGTTCTGTTGTGTTATGCTGGGTTCGACTTAGAAAGAGTGACAAGAGGAGCTGAGGATTTGTTGTTTAATGTGTAACAGAGCACATTCGGACAAATTGTGGTTTTGCATATATTTGATCATTGAAGGAGCAAAGTTCAAGATAAACTTTGATCGCTGCAAAACATTATCAAAGTTTTGTGTTTCAAAGCGACTGAACTTTGAAAATGGATTCAAATGCAATTTCACTTCCATCTAGTCCAAATCAGCGCGTCTCAATGTTGTTTAAATCTTTTAAAGTGAACATAATTAAGTGCTGAAGTGAAAACTGAGCTGTTTGTAATTAGTGTTGATACAACAAAAAGCTGTTCAAAGTTGGTCTTATGCTTACTGTGGCATCAGAATGAGGTTTTGTTTCTTCAGTTTTTATGTCTTCCTTTACTTTCTTTTCTTTCTCCACATCACATCTGCCTGATGTCTCGTTTTGGTATCTGTGTTGCTGATGTAACATGAACAGCATGAAGAATCAGTTTGATCAACCTGCTGGCTGCAAAACCTCACTAAACGACCTGCATGAGAACACCTACGACCATCCAAACCTGCTTTAATCATGCTCACTGACCTCACAGGTAAAATCTTACATTAAATAAGATGAGACCTAATTCCTGTTGGTGGGCAATTGGATGTCACAGCTGCAAATGTCAGCAATTTAAAGGAGAACAAAATGGAATACAAACTAAGAATACAATGGATAGTAATCCCATCTATCTTACTGCTTTACACACAACATATATCCACCCCTAACTTTTTAATTAAAGTATGAATGACTTCATAATATTTTGATAAATTATGTTAGATTTGTTTTAAGCTGCATAAACGACTGAAGCAAAGCATGCATGTAAAACAAGGTGTGATCAAAAACTTTTAAGACTATGTCTATATAAATCAAACACTGTGCCTAATTTATATTTAGCCACAATTCCTGTCTTAGTAGTCTTCCCTTGCCATGATTCAGTGCTCCCAGTGCTTCTGCAACGCTTGTAAGGCTCCCTGGAAGTCCTGTTATATAAACATGTCAAGCACCATCTGTGATGGGTGATGAATCTCCTAAACTGTGTTAAAACAGTGATCCCTAACTTGAGCTTCATTTTTGGGAGGAGGTAGAAGTCATAGGGAGCTGTTGTTTTGAGCAAATAACCCACGTGTAATCACCGGGCTATAACCAGACACCACCCATATGTCTTTTCTCTGAGTGTTCTCCCTCAGCGGCATCAGCTCACTACAACTCTGCTTCGACAGTCCCACCATAGGGGATGAATTCCCAGTACACTATCACAGGAATGGTGAACAATGAGCATACTCATGGTGCTCTTCTGGCTTGAAAACCGCAGGCTCTTCTACCGCAAAAACTGGTTCTCCTCTTGATAGTAGCTGCAGACCCACCGCTAACATTTGTGACATGAAGGTTGGATCATCTCCGACTGAAACAGAATGTCATGTTTGCCATCTGCTTCCGTTTGTGGTCCATGATGAAATCATAAATGTGCACCTACCAATAACAATACCTATAACACAGATGTTGGTGTCACGCAGTCTCCTGACTCATGACAGCTTGTGAAAGTTGCATGTGTGCACTCAGGTCACAGTATCAAAACTCTGTGATCACACCTAGAACACAGAAAAACATTAGATGCAGTATTATTCAGTATGCAATCAGTTAAAACCATTAAAAATGAATATACCTGCAATAGACAATACAAAAGAAAGTGTCTGGGTGTATAGACATGCATTCCAAGAGTTGTTTAACGTGTCAATAAATGCAAATTATAATGCAAACGAATATTTAGATATACAACAGTCTTTGCTTCCACACAACAACAAGCTCTTCTGAAGCAAAACTACAAACCTACATTGATCACCAAACACATCATTTTCCATCATGTCATCAGTAGATCTTTACTGTGCATGACAATCTTCTGCATCCAGAACACTCTCGTGTCATGAAATTTCATGAAATATCCGCAGTCATCAAAAAGCAAATGTGAATTGTGTTTCTCCAGCAGGAAGGGATTATATGTGGCAGACATGAGTACAATAGTTTGAGGGGAAAGATGGGGGTAAAAAAGTAGCAAAGAGGAAACACATTTACCTTAAAGTTAAATGATTTTTTAAAACAAGATGTTTCTGCTGGAAGAGACCATGAAGCAAACCTGAAGCCAAGGTGTTAAATAAAGAAAGTCACAGGCTAATATATGTGTACTTCCTGCTGTCGACACATAATCTTTACAGTCTGACACAGCTCTGGAAATTTTGGTTGCAGTGTTCATACTCATTTTGTGAAATATTTGGCCCATTGTCGTGTCAGTTGTGCAGCTGTAACGTATCATGTAAGTGGAGCAGCAACAATCTGTGCATGCCTAACCGCCGAGCTGAACGCCCGTTAACTCTCCTGTCTGCTCCTAACCCTCGCTGTCTTTCTCACCTTTTCCTGTCTGTCAAAGTCCTTGCCATGTATGAAAATGTTTTAAAGTGCCCTACTCCCGGCTGCTCTGGACGGGGTCATGTCAATAGCAACAGGAACTCGCATCGCAGGTGAGTGAGTGGCCTTCAGCCCTGCTGCTGTCAGCTGAACCACACCTCCAGCGTGTGAATGTGGCTGATTTATCACACAAATACTGTCTGTGTGTTGTTTGAGGAATTTCAGATCAAGCTAGCTACAAATGCTTCGCTCCTCTGTGGGCTCCAGTGTTCTCCTTCCACCTGGTGCTATGGTTTCCTCTCACAGACCAAAAACATGCAACTTAGGTTAATTGGCATCTCTAAATTGCCCCTAGACATGACTGTGAGCCCAGTGCCAGCTGAGATTGACTCCACCACCCCCGCAACCCTCCAAAGGGAAAGCAGATATAGCTAATAGATGGATGGATGTAGAGTTGCTGTGATTAGTCAGCATAATTAATGACGTCAATGCTGAATCGACATCAATATTTTTAACTGCCGCATGTGCCATGACGTCAGTCATTTTTGGCTCCAGTCATTGCAGTCAGCACTACCGCTGGCAACAGCGGCGGCAGCAAAGTTTGACTCGGGTTCAATGTAAAAGTTTCCAAAAATTCAAGGCCCTGAAAATATGGCAGTGCTTCAAATGATCACTGAACAAAAAGGTAGTTTGTATACAGTGGAAAGTTTTCAAAGCAGAGTACAGCAGCATAGTGCAGTGCATGAAGACGAGAAGAGGAAACAAACAGCAGCTATTCAGCACAGACGCACTGTTTGTTTCTCTCCTGATCTCTGTGCTCACATATACTAATTATTAACTCTACTCAGGACTTTGGGGGTCTTTTGGACCCCAGGTCACTTGGTTTAGGTGACAGGTGTTGTTTTTAAATTGTTAAAAAAAAATTTAAATATAAAAAGAGGGCCATTGATCATGCATTTGGAATCAAAAATATGTCAACTTATCAGATAATTTATTTTACATAGTATAAAAGTCTATAATGAATACCAACAAATACTTTGTTCATATTCTTTCTTGGGGTCCAATAGACCCCAAAAGACCTTCTACATGTGGCAACATGAAAGTCCTGCATAGGGTTAATACAACCGAAGAGAACGTAAAACTGTTCTCATGTATATATTTTTCTGTTTCTGTTGTCAGTAACCACAACAAGTATGAAATAGTAACTGAAACGCACCTCATTAAGACTAAATGTTAACCAGCAGGACCTTCCAACATGCTGCTCTGCGCTGTTAAAGTCCTGGTTTTGTCAGTGGGACGTCATCTGACAGAAAGAAGTCATTTGTGTTAGCCCTAGACGGATGTTCAAGTCTTAAAAGGCTTGAGTGCAAGTTGAAAACAATTCACAAGCATCACAAGGTCCTGAATGCTGACATTTGAAAGTTCAAGTCAAGTTTTTAATACTGTGATGTGAAATCAGATCTATGTCAGTGTCTCAGGTCTGGAGTGCTGCACTGTTTTGGCTTGTTCTTATAGTTCTAACCCTATTCAGGACTTTCATGTTGCCGTACGTAGAAGGTCTTTCGGGGTCCATCGGACCCCAAGAAAGAATATGTATAAAGTATTTGTTGATATTCATTATAGACTTTTACACAATGTTAAACACATTTTCTGATAAGTTGACATATTTTTGGTTCCAAATGTATGACAAATGTCCCTCTTTTTATATTTAAAAAAAAAGACCCCAAAAGTCCTGAATAGGGTTAAAACCTGAAGAAAAAAACAAGTGTTCTCTGGTTTAGCATGAAACCATCTTATGTGAGATTGTTGTTCATGCTTTTTATTTGGCAACGTTGGCGTTTTCCCTACCAATGAAAGCGGTTCACAAAATATTTAAGCAGCTTTATCTTGGTATAAAAAAGGTCAGATTTTCTTCCACAGAAAATCGTTTCTGTTTCTACCACCAGCATGCAAAATTACTGGACCTTTTTCAGGTTAAGGTGCATGAGGGGCAGGGACTTAAATTTTAATTTTGCCGTGTTTGAGCTGTGTGTTTGCGTCACATCAGCAGTTCAGTTGTTCAGCGCAGAGCAGAGCATGAAACACAGAGAGTGCACGCATGCACACACACACACACACACACACACACACACACACACACACACACACACACAGACATGCATATTTTTGAATTATGTAAAGTGATTAGGTTTCGCGCTTATTTTCTCACACATACACACAGCTTCAGAGCACAGACACACTATTACTGGCACACACATCCACGTACACACACACACACACACACACACACAGCCAGACACTTACAAATTAGCACACAGACAGCAGCACACGTGCGCTGGCAGACAGAGCACACACACACACACACACACACTCAGACGTGGCTGCAGGGTGTGTTATGTAGCACAGCTCCACTGGGAGAGGAAACAAAGCACTAGCTAGCTAGCTTAGCTGCTGTTAGCTACCAGCTCGCACAGCTTTCATGTCTGGCAGTCGCCATGGAAACGCCTTCATAGCAGCAGCAGCAGCAGGCGCGCCGTGCTGATCTGTCACACACTCCTCACACTCCTTTGAAACGAGTGTGTATGTGTGTGTTTGTCCTGACGATATTTCATTCTCTCTGTGTGTATGAAGCAATTAGGAAGCACCCAGAGTGACAGAGAGCAGAAATTTATCATTTTGAACACAAAGTCTGTGCTCCAACCAATCAGCTTCTCCTTCACCCTGAATTCATACCAGAATGAGCGTCAGCAAGTCGCACATTTCAGTGACTCATACATTCAGAAATATACGAATATGTGGGCCAGCGGTCCCATTTTATTGTCATTTTTATTTTTTATTTTCATGTTGTTTAAAAGAGATGAACTTAGAGCTGTTGGTGACACTTTGCCCTGCTAAATAAAATAATCTGATCCATCATTCAATCAGTTCAATCAATCATTGCACATAAAACAGTTGATTAAAAGTAGTAGATTTGTGTGATCTGAATGGCCTCCTGTGAGGTCACACTTGACTGGAAATTTGAAAAAAAAAAAATAATTGATTCAAAATTTAGTAATTATTGCCTGTTAACTCTTGTCTTTGAGAGCCGGTGGGATTTGACAGTTTTGTTAAATGGAAGTGTTTTGTGGGGCAAATCACCATAAAAACACCCAAATCACTGGAGAAAACTGTGTTTGTGTGGTCCGGCCCTCACAGCTTCTCACCTCCACTTGTCAGTAAACAGGAATCCAAAAAAGCTGGTTAGTAAGAATAAATCATCAATTATTCAGTCAGTAACCAATCGTTTGAGCAGTGAATGAAGAGTTACTGGCCCAGTAAACCAGTCGATAACCAGTCTGTATCCAGTAATCAGTCACATTTCGTAAACTGCAGATGCAGTAATGAGTCTGTCAATACTTGTAGTCAGTTTACAGTAAAAGACAGTCAGACAGGTGGTAATGAACTCAACCAGCAGTCAGTCAACTAGTAGACCAGTTAGTCACCCTATAAACTAATATAACCATCAGTCTGTAAACCAGTCAGCCCACCAGTAAACCAGTCAAACCATCAACCTGTAAACAAGTAAGTAAGTAAACCGTAAAGTCAGGAAACCACTCAGTAAGCCAATCAGAGTGTAAACCTGTAAACTGGTAAGTCAGTAAATGATCCAAACCCTGTCTATAAAACAGTTAGTCAGCTAGTAAACAGTCTTACTATTAGCCAACACCTGAGTCAGTAAACCAGTCAGACCCTAAGCTTATCAACAAATTAGGCAGGTATTGAATACAACCAAACCATCAGCCAGTAAACCAGTCGAAACCACAGACTGTAAACCAGTCAGTAAACCAGATTAACCATATAAACCAGTCAGTAAACCAGATTAACCATATAAACCTGTCAGTAAACCCACAATACGGGTCAGTCAGTCTGCAAACGAGTCAAACCATCCTCCAGTAAAGCAGTCGTAGAGTCATCATAAAGTAGGCCGTTTTTAAATCCATAATTCATTCTGAACCGCTGCTACTGACAGCAGACCTGCTCTTCATTCAGAGCCAGATGCAGCGTGTGTGTGTGTGTGTGTGTGTGTGTGTGTGTGTCGGTACAGTATGTAACCAGGCCGTGTGCCGTCTCCTCCATCCCTCCTTCCTCAGTCTGTCCGGCTGTCCCATCGCTGCTGCAGAGAAGATGGCGAAGGTCCACGAGAAAAGTCACTCGACTGACAGCGGCAGCAAGACCAATCAGACGTCAGACCGCGTCCTCAGGTACCGCCCACTCTGAGTGACACAGCGAGATGACATTTAACATCATGTTTAAACAACAATGATGTGTTTTATAATGCATCATATTCTCTGATTGTCATAGCGTAATGAGGGATGCCAAATGGTGTGTTAAACTAAAAAAACAAGGCTTCTTGTTAATTAGCAGCCTCAGTTTTGGAGGAAGTAGTTTTCCTTTTCTTGGTTTCTTAAACCAAAGATGCTTAATGTTGCAGTGAAACCTTCACATTTCACAATGTTTCAGAAGATGCCAATGTTTTGAGAAATTTCGGCGACTTAAATCAAAGATGCCAAATAGTGCAAGAAAGTCACCAGCACATTAACTCTGCCTTTTTCCTAGAAAATAATGTGAAATAGAATCAGTCTTATTTACATCCATTTTAGATACAACACACCAACACCAAATCATACAGTGGCAATGACAGATTTCTTAAAGCAGAAATGCCATATATCCAGTAGCATAGAAAAACATAAAGTGCCATTCTTTTTGATTGTTGTTTCCGTAAGATATGGAACTAGATTTGATTTGTTTTAATGGTATTGTCATGCATCTTAACCTTGTCAAATGTTGATTAGGTGTGCCAAATTACCCATTAAAATCTAAGCTCATTTTGCTCATTGTCATTTCGGGATTATGAAGTAGCGGCAAGTTGTATTGACCCATCTGAATTAAACAAGAGATCACTGAATGGTGCAGTACAACCTGCACTTGTGTTGGCATGAGGGAGCTGGAGATGGCACCAACTGTAATGAATAAGGGAAGGTCAATAGCGCAGTAAAACAAATATCCTTTTGAAATGTTCCAAAAGACTTTAGGCAATGTCTTTAGAACTGTGTGATGGAAGTTTGTGTTGTTTGGGAAGCCAGCGTGTCTTCTGTAACAGCTTTCAGGTACACAGTAGATGTCAAATTGCACAGTGAAAATTATCACATCAGGGATGCCAAATAGCGAGTAGTCAAACTGCATAGTAAAACATGATACCTGTTCTTGTGGATGCCTTATAAAATGTGACACTAGGGTTTCATTAAATGTATGTATATTACATATAACAGGGATGCCAAATGGTGCACACGGTCTCCATCTGCTATCACAGCAATCTTCTGAGCAGTTTCTTGTCTTTTAATGCAGGTAAACCTCTGGTTGTTAAGAAGGGATGCAAAATGGCGCATTCCAATTTCCAACATACTGCATACAAATGTTTGCCCTGTCTTGTTTTTTGTTTAAAGAAACAAAATTTCTTCTACTCTTGTTGCTGAAATCAGGGATGCTAAATGGTGCTGTAAAGTCCACACATACAATCTGATATTTCTGCTTCCCTTTCAGGCCAATGTGTTTCGTCAAGCAGCTGGAGATTCCTCAGTATGGCTACAAAAACAACGTTCCCACCAGCACACCTCGGTCCAACTTGGCTAAAGAGCTGGAAAAATACTCCAAGACCAGCTACGACTACGGCGGCTACGACAGTCAACACGGAGGCTACGGAAAGAGGGGTCCCACAACCAAGTCCCACCACGGGCGAGACACCTCCCCGAAGGGATATGATGGTAAGAAAAATGAGCACTCATCACCATTGATTCATAACTGAATTTTAAATCATAAGTCCCACTCCTAATATGACTATAATTTATGATTTATTTCTGCCATTTATTTGTCTTTCTGGTTTGAACTGGTGATATTTTTGCTTCTTTTCTGTCTTTTTGCTGATGAGAAATAAGCCACAGTTGGTGGTGAATAAGTTATAACAAGTGTAACAGAAAATAACAAGAAGCTCAAACGTTATTATTTATCTGAAAACATGTTACATTCAGCCTTCATTCCATTCTTTTTGGTATATTGATGTGCAAAATTGTCCACCTCTGGCAACCATCAGAAATATTTATTTGAATTCATGATGTTTCTATTCCAAATTTCTCTCACAGGTAAATTTAAAATCAGCATAACAACATGTGGACAGAAGCCGAGCTGCTGTCAGTTCTTTGTCTTGTTGAAGGCAATAAAAACCTGCAAGATGATCCCACTATGAGGGAGTTCTATTCATTTTCCTATTCTGGGGAGAACATTTTGTACTTGATGATAAAAGCAGTGTAACACACACACAGACACACACAGACACATGTGCTCTGTACTGCGTGTATTCTCTTTGTTATAGCACTGAAAACACTGGTGTTTTCTGCCTCTCCACATGGCTGGAGTGAAAGCAGAGCAGAGTTATGGAAATGCCAAGCTAAGAGCCTGCCTCCTCTGAGCAAAAAGGATGGAGGGATGGAGGGAGGAGGTGCAGATGGAGGGATTGTGAAACAGGAGAGAGATAATGGAGGCGAGCCCTGTTTCTTTGGCTGGGAGCCATTAGTGAGACGCAGGCAGGAGGGAGGTTTTTAGACGAGGTGTCTGCGCTCCCCTCCGTCACGACTCCCTCCCTCCTCTCTACCATCCTTCCCTCCATCAGCATCACTCCAGCCTGCCGAGCCCCGATTCACCATCGCACCAGCGATCGCTATGTCTTTCTTTAGCTTTGTCCATATAGCCGCCTCTCTCTTCGTGTGTCTCTCTCTGTCCCCGCGCTGAAACGATAAGGCTGGAGAGAAATTCTGCAAAGACCAAAATCAACCAATGCGTTAGTGTAGCTTAAAGTCTCAATCTCATTTCATCCTGCTGAACATACTGTAAGTAGGTAGTTTTGAACATGAAGCTTCATTTTAAAAGGGGTCAGTGATTTCCTGGGACAGCTGACCAAGGTGGTTTTTTAGCAAAAACAGGAGAAAACAGTGCAGTTGTTTGGGTCTGTTGGTGCCCTAGTGAATATTTACTAACCTCACTTATATGTATTATATCATTAGGGATTGGACAAACCAAATTTGCTCCGTTGTCAACAGTGTTTTCAGGAAAAATGAAAGCTGAGGCAGGAGCTTCTAGGGCAGGTAACTTCATGTATGTCATGCTGATTTAGGAGTTCTTGTTATGATGAGCTGACGTTAGAAACTCTGCTGTGTCAGTCTTATTCACTGACCTTGCCTTACTTTTTGTTGGAATGAATTCTTGCTCTGGTCAAGTTATTGCTGGTTTTGACCATTTTTTTATTAAATCTTTATGTTTCAGTCTCCTGCTCCCTCCATCAGTCCATCTATTTCTTGCTAATTTTTTTTTTTTGTAATTTTAGACCCATCTGCTGCAAAGTTTGGCCAAGTGCCAGCGTCGCTCTAACAAATTCCTTCCATACGTGTGTGTGTGTGTGCGTCCCTGCAGCTAAGCGTTACTGTAAGACGTCCAGCCCGGCCAGCAGTACGACCAGCAGCTACGCTCCCAGCAGCAGCAGCAGCCTGAGCTGTGGAGGAGGAGGAGGTGGCGGAGGAGGGGGAGGAGGGGGAGGAGGAGGAGGGAGCAGCGCCAGCAGCACCTGCAGTAAGAGCAGCTTCGACTACACCCACGACATGGAGGCGGCCCACATGGCGGCCACGGCCATCCTTAACCTGTCGACGAGGTGCCGGGAGCTCCCGCACGCTCTGGGAGGGAAACCCCAGGACCTGCTGACACAGGTAATCTGAGGCGGTGCACGCAGAAATGGGACGCCCACCTTCATGCATCACATTCATGCACAATGGCAGGAGGAGAAAATAAATATCACAACAAGGCGGCTTTAGTTCAGCTCAAACCCAGAGGAGTAAAGAAAAGCATTCGGAGGAGATTCCTAAACCAAATCAATAAAAGGCAGAATAAAATCAGATAAGACAGAATACAATGAGGTACAGTGTATATGATAAAGTAAGAAAGTGCATTAAATGAACGCAAAATATATAACAGTCGCGTTACAGTTACCGTGGGAGAAACCAATCAGTCAAAGGCACACGAGAAGAGTTTTTATTAATAATTATATTATTGTGGCACACTGAGTCGAGGCACATTTGAGAACACGAGGAAGTTGTTTCCATCTGTGTGCAGAAGCGTCAAACTGTTTGCATCTGAACTTTGGTTTCAAGCAGTCAACTACATCCTAAAAGGTCTAACAGCCCTGCTGGGTTTATATTCTGTATTTGTGTATTTTGGCCAGAGATTATTGTGCGATTTATAAACCAGCCGCTGCACTTTAGAGTCTGCAGGGAAATGGAAGCCAGTGGAAAGATTTATAAGCAGCAGTAATGTGCCCAGTTCTCCTGATTCTTGTTGAAATCTGGCAGCAGTGTACCGAATTGAGCCGAAGTTTTCTTCAACAGAGTTTTTGGGGAACTTGAGACTGTGAATAGTTCACCCTGCTGGAGATGAAGGCACGGATGAGTTTCTCTATATCTACTTTGGACATGAGACCTTTAAGTCTTGCTGTTTGTTTGAGGTAATTGAATGCTGATTTAGTTACTCTTTATGTTTTTGCTGAAGCTCAGATCAGAGTAAATTAAGAAGGTAAATTTTAGGTCCTTGTCTTTACAACTCTGGAATCAAGCTGCGCAGCTCATTGTGTGGTCAAATAAAATGAACTCCATCTTGTCTTTATTTAGCTGAAGGACATCTAATTGCATCCGGCTATTTACTTGCTTAAAGTTTTGACAAAGTGCGTCAGTGTGGTGTTTTAAGTAAATCTAAATGCTACCTGTGCAGCTGTGATCAGCTATCGTCATGTTTGATTTGACAGCTGAATAACAGCAGCCTAAAAATGAAACCTTGGAACTCCACACGTCGTGGTGACCTGCTCAGATTTAAGGTCACCAATGGCAATATCTACAAACAGGATCTCGAAGGGAGGAGCTATATTTAGGGTACTTATACGGATGTTATGAGATACATTAGATAACTATTTAAGTTTGGGGGTGGAAAACTGTACCTGTTTCAAAATTGGCTGCTAAGTAGTCTAATTGTGCAGCGATACTCCCAGCGCTTCAGCAGCACCCAGGAAAGAGAAAAACGTTACAGGGAGCCAATTCTGGTGAGTAGTGCAGGTCAGGGGCAAGGATTGTTGTCGTCACAAAAACAGTGCGTAATCCCCACGCTGTGACTGGGGCCACGGTTTACTGAGGGACCCACATGCCATCACGCCTCAGTTCAGGTCGGTTCGCTCTGAATGTTCTCCATCTGACACCTCGGAACATTACAGCAGAACATTTACAGTCCGACCCTGAGGGACTAATTCCCGGTGCACGCCATCAATGTGGAGTAAAACAATGACCCTGTCCTCACCTGTGGTTTTGTAAACCGCAGGCTCTTCCACTGCAAAAACTGTTGTTTCTTCTCTTGGTGGTAGGTTGGATCATTGTGGCAGCTAATGATTTAATTTTCTTGCTTCACTGTTCATGGAGAACTCACAAACGTACACCTGCAAGTCACAAAAACATGTATATCCCAGTTAGTGCTTAGGATAGTGTGCTGTCACAAACACTGCGAGGACTTTTTGATCGCCTCACATATTAACAATTACAAAGTGGAAAGTTGCAGTTAAAGAATATCTTTGTTTTATTTCCTCTTAGGTCTGACTGTCGTTGTTTTGGCCTGCACATTATATTAGTGATGATAGCACGCTGTGACATTAGTTCATCAGGTGGAACAAAGTAGGTCAAAGTTAAAGCAGGAAAGCTGTTAAATGTGAAAGTTTGGGTAGTAATTGTAGTGTTCACCTTTGTTGAAGTTCGGCTAAGTTTGGTGGCTCATTTACAAAATGTCTGACCGCTGGTGTTATTCTGTGTCTTTGCTCGTCAGAGTCCAGTCGGCGACCTGGACGACAGCGGTGCGGTGGACGTGGCCGGTCAGCCTGGCGGTCCCGAAGGCAGCGGGACAGTGTTGACCCCCCTCCAGCCGATGTCGCCACAGCGGCAGGCTCTGCTCAGCAGCCGCTGCTACCAGCTGAGTGACACCGACTGCTGGGACCTGCCCGTCGACTACACCAAGATCAAACGGCTGGGAGACGAGCAGGACCACAAAGAGGTAACGGGAAGGTCTACGTCACTTTGCAGAGTTCACATTAAACAGATCTAACAGAGTCTGTGAAACTTAGAATCAGCAGGTTAATCTAAAAAAAGATGCAGTTTATGGTTCAGTTTACAATAAAACAGTGTGGGAAAGTTTAAATTACCTACTTTACTGTTTAATTTCATCAAAAGCGGCACACATTTTTGGTTTTTCTCCTCATCATTTGAAGGCCCAACAGATTTTATGGTTAAAAATGTCTGCGCTGAAGTTCATGTAACTCACTGCTGGAACATGTTTCAGTTGGGATGGAGTTTGCTGGAAAATGAAAGGGACTTTTCTTGCACACTTTTGAATTATAAAGGTCAAAAACAAACTTTACAATCTTGAGTTTTGCAATTTACAAGCGAGAACACTCTTTAATGGTTTCTACTTCCTTATTTTTCTGTTAAGTTTTCTGGAAATTTGGTAACTATTCACAGAGTAAATAACGGAGGCTGCCGATTTACTCTTTTTAATGTTTTCTTAAAAGCCCTCGACTGCTCCACTGAAATATAAAAACATATGGCTTTATCATACATTCAAAACCAGATTTTTGTCAGGTTCATCATCTTAAAGACCGCAATGACTTATTTAAAGGGAAGCGTCCCAACTAAACACTCACACGTAGCCATAATGTGCCAAATTATTTAATCTTCCCAAGAAACTTTCTGGGATATTATTCAGCAAATTATCAGGAATTTACTGACCTGCAAAAAGTTACAGTCAGTAATGCTACAGTTTGCAGAGGCGTCTTCAAAATCTAAGATAGGAATTAAGAAGAATGAATTCACGCATTTTCGAAATGTTGACATTGCTGCATCTACAATAAGAGTTCAGGATTTACACATGCTTCAATTTACAGGTCTACAGGTTGAGAGTATCTTCATACTTCTATAGATCAGTCAGTTTATCCTACAGCAGGCTGCCGATTAATATTTGCACTGACACAGATTCGTGGATTTTTGAGGGTTATTTCTATACTGTAGCATGTTTGATTCAAACCTTCAATTTTCAATTTGAAGATTAAAGCGACAAGTGCGTTGAATGAGCAACACGAAGGGGTAAAAATTGAATTCTTTTTGCGCCACACACAAACTCCAAATGTTGCTCATGCTACACGCGCTGCCCTTACAGTTATGATTAAGGGCTTTAACCACTTGATTTAAGATATCTTTAGGCAGCCTGTCCCCTAATCATGCAAAGTAAGAATAATTTGAAGCATGAAATTGAGAGACTTAAGGAACTCAGAGTTTATATTATGGGTGCACGCATAGATTAAGAGATGATTAGGGTTTATAAGCTGTTTAAAGGGATGCTTGTTCTCTGGTGCATAGCAGAAAAGCACCGTGGAGAAGTTGTGGACTTATTTTGCGAGGGCGTACTGCCGGTTGCTGGTGGTACGCATAATTTTTGCATCACTTTACATATGTAAGAGGAAATTTTGGGAGTTTGGAAGGGTTTAGTATGTGTGCATGTACAACTTCACCAACCCAAGGCATCAGAATGGCACAGAATGATGGTGCTTGCCAAAATTGTGCATCAAAACAGGGTTTGTGTTGTTATTCCTCGCCCCGGAGCCACCAAATAGAAATACTTCAACACTGCAACCTGATGAATGCAAGGGGAAAGACCTTTGAGAAAATATTGGTTGATTGGCTTTTGAAAGAAAGTGATGGAGAAATGTGTCGTTGTGTTCTTCGTTTAAGAATAAGACACATTAATCAAGAGGTTTAATCGTACAGACAGTGAAGTGCACGAGTGATGACTTTAATGAGCAGCTTCTAAGTGATCACGTTTAATCCCCTGCACGCGCTGAGCTTCATTCAGAAACAAACCTTTACCCTACAATTATTACCTCATTACCTCTGTGATGTTATTTTGCAGACTTTTGTAATGTGAAGTTTTGAAAAAGTGATTTTGATTTGTATGAAATTTGTGTTATCTCCGGTGGCAAATAACTTGAGATTAATTATATGATGATATAATATTGGATAATACCGGCGCAGGAAAGAGGTTGTGCTGCTTGTAGATGAGATACATCAGATAAATAATACAGTACAACATCAAACAAAATAAAATCAATCAGCTTTATTCTTATTGTTTGCACCCCTGAAAAATGCAAAAGCCTCGAGGAAGAAAACACAAAGTTCTTAAATGTTCCCATCAAATGAAAATACCAGGTAAAATCTACCTTATTCTGAATTATAAATATTGCTTAGCTATTCATCAAAGCTGCTCGTATTCGGTACAATCCCTCCGAATGTGGGCACCGCAACATAATCCAGGATCTATTTGAACTAACTTAAGAGACAAAATAAGTTTGATAAATGGGTTTTATTCCCAAGTTTGTGAGTAGGAGGAAAAGAAAAAAAAAATCATTTTCATCTTTAATGTTAGTCCAAAATTTTCGCGTGCAGTTGGATAAATAACCCCGGATGGCAGGGTGGATGCAGACAGGCTCTCCGGCGGGCTCATTGTGCTCCCATGTGGACAGAGGAGGCACTGCATCGACTCAGCCGCTGCCTAAATGAATGCTTGAGGAGCTCGAGCACGGTGCATTAAAATACTGAATTACAGCGCTAATACATAAGTAAAACATGATAGATCATCTGCACGCTTTAAATCCTCACAGATCTGATATCACACAGAGCAATCCATGCAGCAAATTGCTACATTTGCCTCGTTGGATTTAGAGCACTGAAGTGAAAGGTTTTAATCAGGAGAGTAATTGCGTTTGTTAATGAAGCACGACATTGCAGAGGAGGCCGCAGCCTGGAGCTCGGCGGCTGATGGGATTTTCTCCAGACAGTCCTGAACGATTTCTGCTCCCGACTGAGGAGGTGTGATGTGTGGACTGCAGAGCAGACTGCAGTGCTCTTAGCCACAAAAGCTTTTTGTTCACAAAGTCCAACTGCTGCAGAAAGAGTTTGGACTGGTTAACTGGTGCGGCTACATCACATACAGCATCATCCAGTGTGAAGCCTTTTACTGATGCTGCACGGAGGAAAAGCTAATAGCTTATCGGAAATGATCATCTTTGCATACGGATTATTACACTAAAGGTGGGAGAATATTTATCTGGAAATCAGCTGGCAACCAGTACAAATATCCTGTCACACACCTAGCATTAGACAGAAGACAGTCACCAATCAGCCACAGCATTAAAAGCACTGAAGCGAATGATATTGATTATCTTGTTACAATTACAACTGTCAAGGGAGGGAATACGTTAGACAAGCAGTGAACCAGTGAGAGTCATGGGTGCACAAGGCTTTTGGGTCTGAGGTTCTGATTCCAGTGAAGATCTACGGTAGCACAAACTGCTGCAAACCTTAATGCTGCTCTAATGGGAAGGAGTCAGAACACACAGAGCGTTGCAGCTTGCTGTGTAAGAGGCTGGATAGCCACAGTCATGCTGATGCCCGTCCACCGAGCGCGTGAGCATCAGAGCCGGACCGTGGATCAATAGAAGAAGGTGTCCTGGTTTGATGAATAATGTTTTCTTTTGCATTATGTGGACAACTGGGTGTGCGCATCAGGTACCTGTGGGAGAGATGGCAGCAGGATGCACTTTGGGAAGAAGGCGAGCCGGTGGAGGCAGTGTGAGCAATGATCTGCTGGGAAACTTAGAGTCCTCCGTTCACGTGGATGTTACTTTGAGATGGAGCATCTGTTTAAACATTATTGCAGACTGTTTCAACTCCTTCATGGCAGCAGTAGCCCTGATGCCAGAGCTCGCTGCCACACTGCAAAAACCATTCAGTGAACATGGAGTTAACCCTTTATGGGGCACTCATTAAAATATTTGGAAATTTGAAAGTTAAACCCTGGAGTGTTATAAGTGGATGTAAGACATCCAGAAGACATTTTTTTCTTTTTCAACTTTTATAAAAAGTTTTAGATTTAGGCTGATCAAAGTCAAAGCAGTTACCATAAACAATTCCTCGCCCACCCAGGGTACAATTTTTTAAAGAAAATTCAAATAATATGTGGATAAATTATTCTAAAAAATACACATATAAAGATGAAGTAACATTTATTTCCAAATAACTCGTCAGACTTACGGACCTTGTGTCAAAGTATCACTCTGGCTCACTCGTGTTTGGTCAGATGCCGTAGCGACTGTGTTGTAATGTAGCTTGACCTTCGTTGATTGGCTGGACGAAGTCACATGATTCTGCCCCCTGCCCTTTTTAAAGCCTGCAGAAGTTACCATAGTTTGGTTCCTTGCCTGACAAAGGGTTAATAGTTGACTTGGACTCCAAAATCCCCAGATGTCAGTCTGATCAAGCATCTGTGGGATGTGCTGGAAAAACAAGTCCGATCCATAGAGGTCCCACCTCACAACGTCCAGGACTTAAAGGATACCTTTAATGCCTGATACCTCCAGTCACCTTCAGAGGCTTCTGAAGCTGTTTTGGCAGCACGTAGGTAAACCTACACAACATTAGGCAGATTGGTGTATAACCACTTAAAAAAATGGCTCTCAAATTCTGCAAAACACAAACTCTTCTAATTAGTTGTAAATACACAAATAAAATGTCAAAGTGCTCCTGGCCTATCAAAAATAGTTGTGCATGCATGTTTACCATGAATATTTTTGATGGAATTTTCCATTTCATTTACAGGAATATATCTAAAATATTACCACGTACCTGCAGAGCACTTAAGCTGAGTATGTAAAAAAACAAAACAAAAGACAAATAAACACTGAGACAAAGAAAAGGGGGGAACAATGCCTTCCTTTGTCATTTTTTTTCAATCCTTTTTGCTCAAAGTTTTGGTTTTAAAGCATTAAGAAAAAACTCATATTTTCCAATATCTTCAGCAATTACTTTAAATAAGGTCACATACATGAATGAGATAAAACATTTAGCTACATAATATATAATAAAAAAGCACGTCATCTGTCTTAAACATATACATTTCCCTGTACATCAGTTATTGCCGATCACTACTGATTCCCATTTCTTAGCTCATAGATCAGTTCAAAAAAGGATCAAATATTTTACAAGACGTGTGTCTTGAAGCTGCGCAGAGGGCTTTATCGGAAATCAGACATACAATACTTTTACATAACAGACGGGGCTGTTTTGTATACTTACCAACACGACATAAGATTATCTGTAAAACAACAAATAAAAAAGATCCATGCTTTAGAACCTAAATGTAGAGAAACACTCACACTGTATTTTATCCTGCTCTAAGAATCAGGGTTCTTTCAGAATTATTACATTTATTGCACCTGAAATTGTTCAATTCATGTCACGTGTTGATGGTGATCATGGTGTTATTTATAGCCAGTGTGAGGAGGGTTTCTGCTTGTTTCTTTCTGTCTCTTCAGTAAGAAAAAAAAGCTTTCTCATTGTCAACCTACTTTATCTATGTGTCTGTTTATTTAATTAACCAATCTGTCGTGTCTGCACTTAGAATTAAAACAGTCGAAACAGGTAACAAGGATGCAAAGCAATAATAAACTGAGGATGTTATTAAAGATGTCATGATGCTATGTTAATGACAACGTGCAACTGAGCAGCACGCAACACGGGCATAAACAAGAGCACACACATGATTTAGAAAGTAGCTCTGAAATTGTTGTTAAACACCCCTAATTTCTTAATTTACCTCAAAACTGCATGCTCAGATGTTGGAGGGAACAGGTGCAGTATGTCTCATTAGAGTTTGGGGAAATTTAATCATCGGCTGGTCCATCGAGGACAAAACTAGTTTGCCTCTCTCCAGCGCAGCCATCTCGCTTCATTGGCATTGAAGAAAATGAGAAAAATGAGAAAAACACTGCACTAAATAGCACAATAAGATCATTGCACAAGTCTGAGTTCCAGTCCACACCTCAGACTTGTTGTGCTTTGTGTAACTGTGCGAACAGTGAGCTGGTAGTAACGTGCTGTAGTCTGCTTATTTCTCGTCCCTACACCAGAGCGATGAGCTGGATCCCTTTCAGGACCTGCTGGACGAGCAGCGCTACCCGGCCGAGGTGACCATGCCCAGCCCCAAACACCACAAATACCCGCCCTGCAAGGAGAGCAAGAAGGAGCTCATCACGTAAGACTCAGTCGCACCCCGAATCCAACCAACGCAACACAGCTGTCAGCCGGCACATTCAGGTCATAGGACGCGTGAAATCTTCAGCCAGATGACTTCACTGGGGTTAATGTGACCGCAAGTGATCTCGCAGCAGACATGTCTTAGAAAAATACCTAAATATAGATATGAACAACACAAGAGCTCCAAGCAAGAAAGAAACTGGTAGCACAACCTTACAAATTTAGAGGCATGATTTTACATATGGACTGCAAGGTGGCGCAGTTGGTAGCACTGTTGCCTCGCAGCAAGAAGGTCGCCGGTTCACGTCCCGGTGGGGGCACCGGAATCTTTCTGCGTGGAGTTTGCATGTTCTCCCCGTGCAGCGTGGGTTCTCTCCGGGTTCTCCGGCTTCCTCCCACACAGTCCAAAAACATGTTGAGGTTAATTGGTGATTCTAAATTGTCCGTAGGTGTGAATGTGAGTGTGCTTGGTTGTCTGTCTCTAAGTGCAGCCCTGTGATAGACTGGTAACCTGTCCAGGGTGTCCCCTGCCTTCGCCCTAAGTCGGCTGGGATAGGCTCCAGCCCCCCCACGACCCTAATGAGGATTAAGCGGTGTATAGAAAATGGATGGATGGATGGATTTTACATGTTCACTTTCCAATCAGCTGTTATAGTTGTGAAGATGTTTCATCAGATGTGAGCCGGCAGCATCACACAAATATTCACACCAAGTCTGAGTCCGTCAACAACACAGCTTCTGAGGAGCTGAAGGACAGCAAAACTGTTCAGGCTGGCAAATCAGTTTCATCAATTGTTTGATCAGGTTATCTCAGTTCCTCCACTGTAGCTTGGTTTTGTCTGTGCTTTGCAGATTGTCCTGATCACATCTATTTGTTTGTTCATCTCTCATCAACCTGTAACTTTTCCACATGTAAACAAATTAATAATCAGAAAACTCTTGTTGCACGTAACACATTTGTCCCTGACTTGTTTCTAAAAGTAAAGCGTGGCTGCTCCATGAGACAGACGAGTGAGAGATATGAAAAGTGGTTGAGTAGTGATAGGTGTAATGTCATCGGGGTTCAATTTTAAAATGTGCAAACTTTATTGAGTTGACATTCATGAGTCAAACTGGCAGCATTAGCCGTTCGTCCAGAATTGCTCTCATCTCTATTGATTAACAAACAGCAGCAACAAAAGTTACACAAAAGAAACAGCATCACACATGTTGTAGAACAGTGGTTCTCAAACTGGGGGTCGGGACCCTCATGGGGGTCCCAAGATAATTTCAGGGGGTCGCCAGATCATTGTAAAAAAAATAAAAAAATAAAAAAATAAAGCCTACATTGCATTGTACTAGGGCTGTCAAAATTAAAAGCGTATACTTCTTCCCACTCCTTTTTTGGACTTGTTAATATTATGATTTGATAATGCGATATTAATATTATTCTTTTTGCTTTAAAAAAAAAAGTTTTGTTTTGTTTTGTTTTTCCTTTCATGTGTTTGAAATAAATGCAATTAATTCAAAGAAAATTAACGTGTTAATGTAAAGAGATTAATCTGTGGAAATAACACATTAATTCTTAACGCATGAACAACAAAGTTATGACTCAGGAGATATTAAAAATTCAAATTGGGAGGTCACAAACACAAACTTATGTTATCTTGGGGGTAGTGTCTCAAAAAGTTTGAGAACCACTGTCGTAGAAAACACATAGTGCAGCTGTGGTTTGTGCCAGTACTCTGTTTGTAAGGGTCTTTTGATCTGACCGGCTGTAAATGCAGACTGTTTAAAATGCATGTTATGTGCATCATTAATGTTTTGAGATATTTTAAGACAAAAATGAGTATGTGTTGAACTCAGAATTTTGTGGCTGGATCAGTTTTGTTTAGACAGTGTGTGATACTTTGATTGATCTATTATGAAGTAATCCAATAGCATTCAGGAAATTAGTCATTTGCATTCAGTAAGTGACTGTATTTCAAATTTGGTCCAGAAACACTACCATAGTGGTTTCCTATAGTCCTGTACATGCAGCCTAATCCTTCTTTGCACATTCTTATCGCTTTTTCTCCATGAAGTTTAAAGTTAGTGCTCATTTCAACAACCTCAGGGGCTTTTCCTTCACTCAGAATATTGTATAAGGCCGATCATGGCATTGCTGTAAAGAAAATAGAATTTTATTCTCTGAAAGATTCCAAAGTCGCCAGTTCTGCTTTTTGTAAACTGAGAAGACATCAGTTAAAGTTGCTGCTATGGTCACAGCAGCTGCTTTTCTTGTGCAGGTTGTCGAGCTGTCAGCTGGCCGACAAGAACATCCGTGCGATGATGACGACCAACTCACAAGAACTCAAGTGAGTCTTCAAAATCAGTGACTATGTTGTTCTCAGCAGGTTAAGCTACCAAACAGTGTCTGTTCAATATTCTTTATACTGCAAGCTTACTATAATTCAAACATACATGATGTGATGATGATGAAGTTGTTTCATCCTTGCGTTTGTTCGTCAGGTGTCCAACCCCCGGCTGCGATGGATCTGGACACATCACTGGAAACTACGCCTCCCACAGGAGGTACAGTAACAACCCTCCACACTACAGCTGCCTGCAGCCTCACAGGAACAAACACATTCTGTATGAAATCTGTCTTCTGTCCCGCAGTCTGTCCGGATGTCCACGAGCCAAGAAAAGTGGCATCAAAATCCTCCACAGCAAAGAGGACAAGGACGACCAGGAGCCAATCAAGTAAGGCTTTTCATTACAGCTTTAACATAGAGGGAAGCTTGGAGTCCGAGATCAAAATAAGATCCAGTTAAACTTTAACTGTTAAAGCCAAGCAATCTCTGGTGTGGATAAGAATAAGGGTAACTCAGTGAAGTTATGAATCTTAGCTAATCTTTTAATCAATAAATAATTTCAGTGTTTTTGTTTGACAGCTGCAACAAACAGATGATTCGTCAAATCACAAAAATCATCAACTTTTTCGCTAAACAATAAACTGTTAGAGTGAGTTTTTAAAGGAAAATGACAAAAATTTACTCAAGTGTGAGAATTTGTTCATTCAAGTTTGAATATTTTGTATTTTCGACTGCTGGTTGGACAAAACAAGACCGCATCCATTTTACGCTTGTCGTACAAATCAGATAAATAATACATCTGCATATAAATAAAGACAGGGACATTTACTGGATGTGGAAGGTCTAACAAAAGACACATTGTGGGTAAACTGTAGGATCCAGTGTTTTTAGAACGTAACCAATACTAAGGACTAAAAGTCTGTATATTTCCAAATTTGCTGTTTCAATTTCAACCATTCCTCCTTTAACACACCTGCTGTGAGTGTCTCATCTTTGTGGAAGTGCAGTACGTCATCACAGGCTTATCCTTTGAATTTAAATTAAATGGGATCTGTATTGGCCAAGTTACTTGTATGTGTAAACATACAAAGAACTTGACTTTAGTGTCTCTCATACAACAGAAGAAGGTTCAGGAGGAACTACACGTGAACATATGAAACAAGGAAAACCAAACTGAATAGATAAACGTAACATAAATGTATGACAATTAGACATACACTGTATTTCTTCAAGTAGGTCTGATATGAGTCAGTGGTGGTTGAGATGAACAAATAAAGGATGTTCAGTCCATCGTATGAGCTACTCATCTGTTCTGGGTCTGAGTTAGACTTAGCTTGCTACTCATTTGCACCACTGTGCCGTGGCAAAAACTGATCAGAATGTAATTGTATATATGCATTTATAGTGTAATCAGTCCAAACATTTACAATTACAGGAAATACTTTAGCAGTTTTCCAGTGTTTGGCCTGTGTGTGTTCAGTATGTCTAACAACTTTGCTTATACAGTCGTGACTCGATAATCCGACACTAAATGTAAAACCTTCCTTTATGTCGGATAGCAAGGTTGTTAGATTGTCAACATGGAGGTCGAGATACAAGGAGGGCTTGATGCTTGAAGGGTAACTTGTTAATTATTGTTCATAGTTGTTATAATAACTAGTAGGGTTGGTCTGAATAGCAGTTTCTGTTCTCTGGTAATTCAGGCCCAATTAATGATGAATATCAGATTATTCGTTGCGGTCGGGGGACCACTTCCATCCTGGGGGAGCGCTCCGACACGGTGGAAGTGGCCGGAACGCACAGGCAGTACTTGGCTGTTGATGGCAGTTTAGGATAGTGGTCACACTTCTGTTTACACCATCGCCATCACCCGTGTTTACTTTCGTAAACACTGAGCACGCTCGCTGTGTGTGACGTCATTGTGTCCTCTTCTGCGCATGCGGGACACTTTTGGGTCGTATGAAGTTCACACAGCAGATCACATACAAGTCGCATTTAATTGGAAATGTTAACGAACTCACAAAACAATCAGATTTCACAAAAAATCTAAATTGAGCATTAAGTCCTGCAGTAGCCAATGTGTGGGATTGTTCAGTCAGGAATCCAAGGCTGTCGGTATGTTGAGGCTATTTTTAAGGGGTTCTGTTCGTTTTTCCTAAAAATCTGTCAGATAGCAAGGTTTTCAGATGGTTAAGGGTCTGATTATCGAGTCACGACTGTATTTTGAAACTAGACTGTAATCAACATGATGTATG